CAGAATGAATCACATAAACTATCCGAGTAATTTTTTATTGCTTCCGAATGGAAGCATTGCAATCGTCCGGTCCCGACCGGAAAAAAAAAATTCTAATTTTGCTTGGAAACGATGTAGAATGGTCTGAAATGTAAAAATACAAAAGTTTTTGAGAATGTCTGTGCGTGGTGCCCCCTGGCCAGGGGTGATTTTTTAGTTAAGAAAAGATAAAGGTGGGTAAAAAAATTCCGAAACATTTGAAATTTCGTCAAATAGTAGATAAGACTTGAGGCTGACTATGGAATAAAAATTCTGCTAGATCGGTCAAGCCGTTTATGAGAAATCGTGATTTGTTTATAAATCGTTTTTTCGAAATATCTCCAAAACTAATGAAGGTATTCAGTTTTTTTTTTATTTCCTTCTCTTCACCATGATTGGCTCTATTGGAATCAATCGAAAATTTGAAAATGAACTCTGGAAAAAATCATAGTTATTGTTACTTTTATGTTTTTGGAAAAAAAATGTTGTACGCACTCTCACCCCCGCAAAAATCGAGATATCCACTTTAAATTTTGACGAAATTGTCCTTTTATCACTGCAACGGATGGTATTGAAAATGAGTAGGATTGACTGATTAGTTCCGGAGATATTCAATTTTTAGTGTAAAATGATTATGTGGAATATCTCAAAATTGACTGGACCGAATTTATTTTTTTTATATAAAAATTTTTGTCTCGATGTCCCCTGTCATTATCCATCAAAATATATAGAGTCGCCCATAAAACTTTTCGAGATATTTAGATTTTTTCGTTTTTCAGTTCAAATTGTTGTACGCACTCTCACCCTCGCAAAAATTGAGCTATTAACTTCAAATTTGGACGAGATTGTCCTTTCATCACTGCAACGGATGGTATTGAAAATGAGCATGATTGACTGATTAGTTCCGGAGATATTCAATTTTTAGTGTAAAATGATTATGTGGAATATCTCAAAATTGACTTAACCGAATTCATTTTTTTTTATGTGAAAATTTTTTTCTCGATGTCCCTGTCATTATCGATTAAAATATATATAGTTGCCCTTACAAACTTTTTGAGATATTTAGATTTTTTCATTTTTCAGTTCAAATTGTTGTACGCATTTTTTAAATTCCATTCTTTTCGTCATGCTTGGCACTATTGAAATTAATCAAAAACTGGAAAATGCATCCTGTAAGTAATCATAGTTATATAACACTTTCATGTTATTGAAAAAAAAAATGTGATTCGCTCTTTCATCCGCACAAAAATCAAGCTATTAAGACTGCAAATTTCGACGAAATCGTCCGTTTATCCCTACAATGGATAGTATGAAAAATGAGCTTAATTGAACAATTGGTTTTATAGATATTCAAATTTTAGTGTAAAATGATTATATAGCTTAGAATATCAGGATCGAATTCGTTTTTTAAATTTGAGAATTTTAGTCTAATAGATGCTTAATTGTTACGACCATTTAACATTCATAATAGATCCAACCTGACGAGGAAAAATATATTGTTAAAATCATTCGGAAGCCCGCCATCAATTTATTGATGGCAAAACAATATACCTATACATTTCGCTAAATCCTCCACAATGACAAAATTGTTGTCGCCTACTTGTTTTAACATATGCGCTTTAGGAGAAAAACGTATCCATTCATAATCTAAGTAATAATCTCTTTCATTATTTGAAGCCGTTCAAACTTATTTCAAAAAAGTTTGGTCTAAGCTCGATCATACGCATTCGCATAAATTAATAAACATAAAAATTTGTAATAAAACAATTGAAATTTTTCGGATTTTCCTTATCATGATGGCTGAAGAAGTTGAATCCGAAGCAATTGTGGAAGTGAAGTTGAATACTTTGGTTCTTCGAGAGTGGAGGTTCAGTCCGATGTTCGTCGGATTTCCTTGTAGTGCTTGGTCATTATGAGTTGGCGAATCAAATTCAGCATCGAGTCCCATTGTTTTTGGAGCAGGAGGTTCTACAGTAGAAGTTGAGGGGCGTGGGCCAACAGAAGTTGAGGAAGTTGAAATCTGTAACGGTCTCATTCTTCTGCCTGTGGAAGGACGTGGTGTTACATTTGCAATAGCGTTGCTGATCAGAGCAGAGACTTTATTTTTCTGGGCTAACGATGCGTCGATGTAGCCTTCAGCCACTGTGAAAGAGGCCCAACCACCCTATTTCTTCAAATTGATGAAATCGAGGCCACCATTTGCTGCAATAGTTGCTCCTGTGCGTAGGAAAGTATGGCCAGTATATTTTTCAGGGTTAGGAAGCTTCAAGTAGTTAGCAATTACTGAGGGTATTTCAGCGAACTTGTGGCTTCCAATCATTTGATTTACGCATTTGCCTTGCGTATATCTCAAGAAGAAATGGTTTTTATCAGTTTTATGAGGCCGTAGAGCCATATAACGTTTGATAATTGTACAATTATCTCCAGTAATAACGAAACTTTTACTTCCTCCAGTCTTTGTCCTCAGGAGATTAAATTTAAGACACGTGTTGTGATTTTCGACGTCTTTAATTCTCAAATTGTGTAGTTCGCAAATTCTGCAGGCTCCATGAAGTCCAATAATGAGTGCCACCTGAGAAAGATTGATGAAATTAAATTTTTCAAGTGAATATTCTAACACACAATAACGAACTATTTATGGTGTTAAGTTTTACCTTTGTGGCGAGTCAAGTATAATCAGGTGCTTCAAATAGAAATTTGGCAATTTTATTAGGGGTAAATGTGTTTCCTTTTTTTTCTCGGGTTGAGACGCTTTTTCATTGGCAGATAGAAATTTTATAACTAATAAGAATATTAAAATATCGATAGAGTTATGTGTAAGTAACGTTGCCTTCAGCATTGAATGAATGGTCCACAGCGATCCAGGTACTCTTTCCCTTGACAACACATTGAAATATCCCAGCAAAACTGTTTCGTTGATAATTTTAATTTTCTTTTTATCAAGATAGGACTTGAAATTTTCGTCTTCCTGCTCATTCATATTTCTTGGTTTTGGTGGGATCGGACGACTCTCAGCGTCACGAGCTTCCTGGAGAACGTCCTGTGGAATTTTTTCGTCAGATCGAACATCGTGGATATTTGTGAAACACAACAGACCTTCATCAACTGATTTTTATTGAATTGTACAAGTTTCAGCCTCACGAGCGTTGTCCAAACCGTCGGGCGGAACGTCGTTGTCGTTGCAAAGGTTATGATCGCTATCAATAGCACTTTGGTAACTCACTGAACTTAAATTAATTGCAACACTCGATGTTGAATTCCGAGTGGCTTCGTCATCGAACATATCCTGAGATTTGTCGCCTTCTTCATCGCTGTCCGCAATAACCACATATTTTTGTGAGTTCATCGTTTCACTCCCGATCCCTCCAGCTGTCATATATTCTGGACGATTAGACAAAGTTACTTTCTTGTAACTAATAATGACTGAGGCCTTCGAGATCGGAATAGAACTTTTATCATTTAATAAATTGTTATATTATTGAAGGAGTCGCTTTTCCTTGAGAGATATTTATTTGTAATAAAATTATCTACGTTCAATGTTAAATAATGGCTGTCAAAAAATTGACTAATGGTTATCTCAAAATGTGATCTGCCTTTATCAATGAACCCACCCACTTGGGTCCATTATCAGATTGGGTAAGATATTCTCAGTGTTTTCTGTGTGTATATTGTTACCTATTTTTCTATTTAATAATGTTTTTTCTTCGATATGCCACTACATAACGATAATAAGCGCGCGAAGCGCAGCGCAACTGCAAGTATTATACATTTTTCCTTATTTTACCAATATATTTTTATTGCCCTAAAAACTCTATTTTTCGACTACTATTTAAGTGACGTCATACAATGTGCCCAACCAAGCGAAGGTGATTTTTACGCGTATGAATAATAAAAAAAATTATTACTTCTCATTATTACTTCGTGTTTCACTTTCATACGAGTAATATCGATTGAAATTTAAACTCGCTTCAAATATGGAATTTTGGTCAATATTACCCTTTTCTACTTCAAATTCTTTTATTTTGCCTTCATTCTACTTGATTAAAAGCATTATTTTTATGAAAATAGCCAATACCGTTCCTGACCTAACAGTATGTATTGCGTTGTATGTTTATAGTCGTCAAAATATAAAAAAATATGGTTTTCGACAAGTCTTTCTAAATAAGAGAGAAATTGTGAATTACAAGCAATATGACTCAAATTTCAATCCCTTCCCTCCCGGACTGTCCTGGTGACAACATGGTCTGTGCAGCGTTTATTGATCTGGCAAAAGAATTTTATATTTCAACGAATCCCAGAGATCATTTCAAAAATGTATCCAGTATCCAAACGCGAAGAAAGAACACACATCTCCCGGACCTTCTGGAAGACCACTTCGAGAACTAGAATGGAGAAGCAACACAGAAACCCAGATGAGTAAATCGTATCGCACACGACCGTGTTTTATATTACTCAAGGAATGGTAAATTAGGAGTAAAGATAGAATACATTGTCCTAAAGGGAATGTTCTTTCGTTTCATATTAAATGAAATTTTGACACTAATTGTCCTATTTTGTAGATACGTTTATGTTCTCACATAATATGGAAAAATAAAAATAAATAAACAGAGAAACTCTTACAAGTTACTGTCCTTCAACGTATGAGATAAAAAAACACAAATACCACCTGCTATAAATTTTTTCACAGAAGTATATTAGTCATATTCTCATGTAATGATTTACATTTTTTAACGAGAAACAAAGATAATTAGCATTGGAAGAAAATAGAACATCCGTTTTGAGAGAGCTCGGTATAGGGTTAGTACGTTAAACATAACAACTTCACCTGGCAAAATCTGCTAAGTGTCGCGAAGAAGATTAAAATCTTGATGACTTATCAAGAACGGTAATAACTAAATATATTCTATTTCTTAAGAAGATCGGTGGAAAGTCGACTGCATTGAGAACATCCGTAAATTATTGGTTTACTTTCTTTGTTGCAGAAACGGGATATGGTACTGCCACTGAGCGGAGCAAGAAGACATTTTCCATCGTACGTATAAAGATTTTGGCAAGCCAATGCAATTTTTCGAGCCAGTTGATTCGCATGCTGGACTGCTGTCTTTCCGTTATTTCCACAATAAATTCGATATATTTGTTTCCACCTCAATGTTTCATGTGGCTTCCACACGCTCGAGGGCATTCGATTTTCACCTTTATATATTTATTCATTCGATTGTTTCCTTTTCTCCTCTTTTTTTATTTCTTTCACATTTTGTATCCAGGATCGCACGCTATGATGTTATTTTCTGAGCTGTAATGGAAATCCAGTGGATTTTCGATCCTAGATTTTCCATGACTCGATCAATACACAGGACAATTAGATAAATTTTAGAGAGCGCCAAGCCATTCTGTTGAGAGGCTAGAGAGAACTCGTTGTCGTTTGGCAACCCTGATTCGAAATACAAATTTGTAATAAGGAAGCTTGCATGGAAATAGTATTTTACGCTTCAAAGGTTTGTTTTTTCTTTTGAATTTAGCTGTGATACTCGTGTGGCGTACATTATTTTACATTTCAATGGGCAGTATAACTGGCCACTTACATCCCTCCTTGCGTGCAATTAGCCAGTTATGTATATTTTAATATATTTTATACTGGATTCTAGGACATGCGATTTTTAATGCGATATCGATGAAAACCGCATTCTCTCGCAATTCTGCTATCAACTATCAACAAATTAGATCATACAAAGACGTTTACTTCTGATATATGCTCATCAAATTTGAAAACAACCGCAAGATGGGGATTCTATGAACTCGACTTCGTGATCCAGAACGATCACAAGCTGTCATGTTATCTTGAATCTCTACATTGTGCAACGACATTGTTGATCTTGTGTTTTTGGTGGATAAATGTATTTTATGGAATAGTTTATTCACAGCCAGCTGCAAAAATTGATTATATGTTGCGAATGAAAGCAGTGAAGAAAGCATCGGAATTTGCCTTCTGAAAATTAATTAAAAAATAGACTAGAATCAGATATATAATATACTTGATTCTAGTATACATTTTTCGGTGTTTCTGCTCCTGACTTCTAAATTATAAAATATCAATAATTTAGGTAATTGAATGATTAAACGTTCAGAATTCACCGATCACTGGGGGAAAAGCGAGATTGTTTGTGATGTTTTTTTGGTAAGGTAATGGAGTGGACAAAATGACGGAATGGGTAGACGCCTGAGGGAGAATCCGGTAGAGCGGAAGAACTTAATTTAACATTTTTCTCCATTACAGTAAAGAAAACAAACATTGTCATCACGAATGAAGAGATTTTCTTAAATGGCGATTATTCCATTTCATATTTCATTGTTTTCAGAATATGAAGACCCAGAAAACATGCATAGGAATACAAAATTTACCATTTTTCATTCCTAATTATTTTCAATAACTAGAACTATTCGCGTGCTTCACTTGCCAGACTGGCCAGAAAAGACGGTATTGTGTATATTACATATCTAAACAAAGGATGCTCTTCTTCCAAAAATGAAAGATTACATTTTTTATCCTTTCTATTCCGCTATTTAATTTGGTAGATATGATTAAAATTTATTTACTATCTACTATACTATTACTATATATATTATAATATTTTGTACTTTACTCATGATAGAATATTATATCGCACTATTATTTATGTGAAATAATTATTATACATAACTAATACTATAAGATTATATGCAATACATACGGTATATCCATAATATGTCGAATATAAATATATATATATAATGGCGCTACAAGGTTGACTGTAAATAATACTGTTTTTGCTACTCACTATACCACGGTCCATATACCGGGGTTCTGATTTCGTCATATTTTTTTAAGTTTGCCATGATTAATCTATTGGTTTTCGCGGAAATGAGGGTGACTTTTCGGAAGAGGCACTTTATATAATTACCATAGAACTTCGCTTACGTAAGTTCTCTTAATCGTTCAATTGTATTGTGCGCCTCCTCCTCAGATCATCGCATGTAGATGTTTAACGTATCATAGCACTGAACTTATTGGACTGTTTTTTGTTATTTTTAATATTATTATGCCCAACAGAATCCAAAAAGAAGTGATTGAAGAAAAGATTGAACGAGTTTTTTTCATCGTTTGAAAATCGATTTAGCAAATGTTTTTGGATATTCCTGGATCGTTCGGTTGCAGAACCTGGAAAAAGTTGCTCAAGACGGAGTCCAACCAGCGGCTTTGAAAATTACAGACGCTTACCCCGCTGTCTTTGGCCACTGAGGTTGATGCCGGACGTGTGTTGTAGGTTGAAAACTTTCAAATGTCCGCCCCACTCTAGAAGAGTACATTTTTGATCCAGTGGCTGAGTCTTTGAGGTTATAAGGCCTTGTGCGGCTTTTTCCATGAAATGAAATGCGTTTTTTACTTCCTCGTAGTGATTGTGTGCATTCTAAGAAAGATTGCAGTGCTGATGCGACACAAACAGTCGGATTCTCCGGGAAAAAGGGGAGAATTACGGTTGTTTGACACCGTCTCCGGCCTGACATCTTCAATGTCGCTGGAACTTCAATTTCTAGATGATCTGCTCTTTGGGCGATGTTTTCGACATTTATTCCAGCTCTGATCTGCATCCGATGTGCAGCTGTTAATACCATTAACATTACCACTTTTTCTGATACCAGTTTCAGAGTAATTGTGTTATTTGGAATCCATTTCGCGATGTGGTCAAAAACTATCTTTTGATTCCATGAAAATCATATTTTGAGCGTATTGGGCGTAGGGTGACGGTACCTTAGCAAAATCGTTTCACCAACTCTTTTTTTCCCAGAAAGGGGGGCCCAGAATCAGAGCTACAGCTCATCTTATGCTACTCATAGTTCCAGGAGATGGCCCCAAATTGAGTTCATTGGTGAAGAGATTGATGACGTCAGGGATTCCTGCTGAGAAAACTGAGGTTGTGGTCTACAGAAGTTCCACTATTTTTTCAGGCTTGACGCATACTGGTGTAACGTTGAAGCTCGAAGGAATGCCATGCTAATTTGCATTGTCTCCGGTAATATGTTTGCTA